TTTCCTCTAACATTTAGTACAGCGAAATATAGTGCCATCACGTTAGTCTGCAAATCGTTCTGCAGTCATTTGATTGCCAAAGTCACAGATACAGGAACTTCTTAATAGTCCCATCTGTTGTAGTCGCACAACAATCTCCTCTTCTCTAAAATCTGCTGTAAAACGATCGAATGTGAGAATCTCGCATCGAACTTAGCGCCGTGACCTTGAAATTCCTCAAACGCTTCTGACTGGCTCGTCCATAAATTAGAGTCTTACCCAAAAATGTATCTTACCCATTCTTGAATATGACATTTTAGTTTACAGTAACTGCAGACATAATAGGCTGATTAAAATTGAATTTTCACCGAAGCTAATTTGTGGTATTCCAACAACAAGGATTATCAGCGAAAATGTCAACAACTTTCGTTATAACCTCTCTGAATCAAACGCATCAAATCAAGCCTTGTCTTTACCAACCGACTTATTAACGGTATTTTATACTCTTCAGCATCCACGCATTCCTACTCTATGACATCATCCCACGACCAAAGTAATAAGGAAAATATTCTAGTGATTCCAAAAACCTACACAAACTAACGCCGGAATCTTTTCGTTATTCGCCTCTCAATTATGTGGACAAACTACCAGTTGAACCTCGTTACAGTGAAACTATAAACCGGTTCAGAAGTCTAATAAATAAAAGTCGATATTTGATTATCCTATGCAATTAAGACTTTCACAGCATCATTCTAAATAATTACTGCCCAAACGTTTATACTAATATCAAGTTTTATTCTGCATTCTATCACACAAATTTATGTGTATTTACCCGAGTGCATCTGTTGTTTGAATAAACTAATGATTCTTTTGTACTTGTTGAATGATTGATTTCGAATTCTGAATACAGTACATTCGTTCGTGCTTACCTAGTACTTCTTGATCCGATAATGCTATTTCTGGGATTCTTAGTTCATACTATAATTCAAATACTTCTAATATTCACAGTGCACTTAAAATATTTAAAAAAATTAATGGCTCACTTAAGAGATAGATATTAATTACACATTCATTGGCATGGTTGAACGTTGTCACTAGTTACTCATTTCATTTCCATCTCACTCTTTTCCATCTTAAAAGTATTATTATTAAGTATCCGAAGTTCGTAATTAATCTTGTGTCACAATTAAATAAACTGTTTTCAAATTAATTTAATCTTCTTACTTACTTACTTACTTACGCCTGTTACTCCTCGTGAAGGAACATGGGCCGCTTACCAGAAAAAAATTTAATCTTCACCATATCTATATTACTTATACATTTTGATATTTGACTATCCTTTGAAATTAACTGAAACTTCCATAGCATTACTTAAACTATTACTTCACAAACACTTATTCCATCGTCATATCTTGCTGCAATATTATTTTCTTATTTAGTTACATTATTTCATTTATTTTTGTTATTCATTTGGCGATACATACATAATCGTTCACTCTTGTTCCGTATTTACAAGCACGATTACTGAATTATTTACGTATTTCGCGTTACTTTTCCTTATTCCTCTATTTTCTCCCTTCTTTGAAGCCATCTCTGCGATTTTTCAAATTAAAGAGAACCTGATTTAATATTATTATTTTACTATCATTCTTTTCTTCTTTTTCTTCTTTTCAAATATGCCAAATATAATGCTTACATTATTGAAACTTGTGTTTGATTGCATTTTCGAAGAATCCCTAAGTGGTTCCTTCACAACACTTGTGTATCCTTATGTTTGTAAATAATAAAGTGAAGATTTATTAACCCCGTAACACGACGACGACGACCGTAGTCGAAAATACATATTTATATATTGATTTGTACATCCATTTCAATTATTAATTAGTACGAATCACATATATGAAAAATACTTAGAAGTATCCCATGCTACATGTCATACTGTGCATGGTTTATTTCAATTGAATACAAGAATATCGTATGTCATACAGAATAAAATATCATAAGGGAAACAAAACAAATACTACACAAAGTAATTATCACACTGAATTAAGAAGGAAGTAACGTTGAATAAAATATTACAATGAGTAAATCGATCTAATTTTGATTTTTCTTCCCGTCATATCAGCTTGACCTGGTAAAACTACCACACTACTGTAACCTTCGCATTTAAAGATTTTGAGTTCTTGAATAAAATTATGGACTCTATACTGCTTGTGTCAACATTTGAGTCATGTGATGAACCAAGGGAGAGATACAAATAAAATCTGAACTTCAGGGTCTATCATCCCTGGTAGTGAAATGAACATTAGCTTGGTAAACTGACATGATGTGTCCCGTCTTAAACATTTAGCAATCTTGTGCTCACCTTTGTTTATTACTTTTAAATTTTTCCTCGGCTTGTCCTGATATTTTCACAAGAATGGAAGTTATCGTTATTCAAACCCCCACCAGTATAAGACTGAGGGTGGGTCGGGTTGTAATAACTAAATAATTTAGTAGAATTATTGATGTAGGCTTCATGCACTGTATCATTATCAACTGATGTACTTCTAGCATCTTGAAGAAAAACCTTCGACATTTGTATCAACTATCTTTCCAGACTTGGTATGATAAATCCTGCCGTCAGTCAATCAAATAAATAGAAAAGTTGATAACAGTATTACACCTGACAACTTGTTTCTGAAATTCAATGATAAATTTCCTAATCTGATTGTTCTGACGAGTCATTATATCAAGTTTTGTTCTTTCATGGCATTCGAAATTTCTATAGTTTACGTGATTTACCAGTAGTTATTTGAGTTTCATAGCGAAGTAAAAAGGCTTATCTGCAGCCATCGTTTCCGACTACTGTAAGATAATAAGCAACGGTTGTATCATTTCTAACATTCTTCTTGATCGTACAACAGATTTCAAACCTGTATATGTAATCTTCGAAAGCTTCAGAATTTGAGTGTATATCCAAACGTTAAATCGCAGAATCCATCTCAATGTCCGCATGTTGCAGTGACTCACATTTATCATGAGAACACGACTGGTTTAATAAAAATAATTATTATTATAACCAACTGTACCAGTGTTTGTTTTAACGTGCTTTTGTTTGACTGTGCTAATGACAGCTATTTTGTGCTTCCATTCTTATACTTACACTTTGATTGTAACTTCGCGCGGATTCGGTTACTTTCTGTAACCAAGCTTGTATCCTGGCACGATCTCGGTATCATTTCGATGCCACGAGATCGCCAGCAAATATAACTCGACTTGGTCCATTACTTGCCTTCTGGTATTTGGCTTCTTGGAGATTTTATGGGTTTCTTTGGTTACGTCCAACCTTCGCCTTCTGATTCGCTTGGCACGTGTTTCTTGGTAGCAGTGTTCATAGTTAATCTCAACTCGACGCCACGCTACAATGTTATTGAAATTATTTAAAATGACTTTCTAATAATCCTCGAAATGGTACAAGTTAATACAGGTACGCTTAAATCAACACAACTGTGCGTATTATATTTATAGTTCATAATAGCAAAGAATAAATTACAAAGAAACAAACAACTGGTACAAATATAACACAGATCTAGGTCATCTTAGATCACCGATGTAGTTGACCCCTTTTTGATGATCGCGGTCTACTCAAGCTGGACATTACTGTTATAATCTTTTAGCCCACGTCGAAGCCAAATCACACAAGTATTACCTAAACTGGAATATCTATTCGTGGTATCCAGGTACTTTGGTTGCTACATAGAAGGAACCCGAGATCACTAGAGAAATGCCTTAGTAGAGACAAAATACAAAGAGAGATAGCAAACTCTGCCGCTTAAGCCAGGCAGTGACGTTCAATTGACCGGTTTCGCGCGAGCTAACCTTGAACATGACAATGTTGGACAAACCATCAAGCAAAAAATGATGGTACTAACAAAAAATGTACTATATTCCTTCAGAACGTAATCAGGTAAATAAAGCAACTCAAGTGAATACTGTCAGACATACCTTCATGTCAGATGAAAAAGAATCTACAACAGCCACAAAAACATTAGAGAATAACAGAAACACTACTGAGTATCCAAAGCTGACGGTAAATTATTAGTGTATTCTCATTTCAAAAAACGTGAATGCGATACTAAAGACTGTAAGAATCTAAAGCTAAGAGGACACATATGATATGAGGTTTAAGATTATTTCATGAAGAAATTATGCGACGGTAAGGATGTCTACAAAATAAATAGTTCTGTAAGTTCTCGACATTGATGAGGATCTGATTAGTTTTCACAGACACAGTTAACTGAAGGCGCTCGGTAACGTATGTGCACCAGATCACGAAAAGGTACGCCGTACTACATAACCCTTGCAAATGCTAGCCAGTCTAGACACAACAATTCTCGACATACCGACAACCTTCCAACTATACTTTTGAACCACTTCATCTCTAACTTCTGATTTGACCGGGTTGGCATACTTTACTATAAATGTGCTACTGGTAAAATCGCTGTCAAAATTAAAATACATATGGCATGTTTAAGTACAGTGAAAGGATTTTATTACGCAACAAAAATAATACAGCGTTCACTTTGTTTTGTAATTCACTTGCACACACGAAATATAACGGAAACATTTCAACGTCCAAAAGGCAGTGCAACCATGGTGACGTGCTTAACTCCAGATAATCCAATTAAAACCAAATGGTAACACTTTCAACCCTTTATAAGGACTTTAGTAAAACATGAATGGAATATTGTGTCACATGGAACATAGCTGAGTATCTAGAATATCGTAAAAGAGATCACTTCGTGCAGGGATTCTCAAGACATTTGCAATAAATTATGACCACATTTAACATACCCCTTAAAATGTATTGATTGGATGGCACCGATCACATCACTGAGTCTGAAGTTTTATTTCCAAACAGAAACGTCAACGGGTACATACCTAAAAGATGCGCAACTCATAGATAGGTGGTATTTTGATATTGTACATTGAGAACGTTTCACATCATTTATCGCGCGTGCCCTGAATTCGCAACAAATATGGGGCGGTGAGTTATTGAGTGCTAGCTTTTGTTTCTATTTTTACGTTCTGCTTGAAACGTTCATTTAAATATATTGTTTGAATGTTATTTTAAGTACCATTAACTTCAGTCTAGCAGGATATGCAGGACAGATTGTCACGAACCGACCGACAGCATCACACTTTCGTGATATATGTGTTTACCGTTATCAAACTCCAGTTTTGTTATTCATTTGTAGCTCTAGGCATAGTCGACCTAAACATATCAACCCCCTGGTAGTATTCATATTTCTTAACCTACGGGTTAAAATAATAAACACTACGTCGGCTTCCGATTGATAGACGGGTCAAAGGTCTGCGTAAGTTTGCTGTGGTGTTTTTACCGAGAAGCTTGTTGGCTGAAAAATCACACTAAATTGCCATTGCGGTTGGCTTTCTGAGGTGATTTTCGTCTGGGAAATAGTTTTCGTTCAGTTCGGACATTTGCTTCTGGAGAAAGAGAGAACTATAAAAATCCACTTGTTTATCAACCCAAAATTTCCCCTACCTTGATATAATTGTGATTGGCATCAGTGTGTTAAATAAAGATGTCTTAACACTATTTTCGTCAGGTGGGAAATGACCTAGTGGTACATGTACTCAATCTTAAACCAGCGGATTGGCTCTCCGAGCTCCACTTTCTTTACTTTGGTTTACTCTTACTATTACAATGTATGGATTTCTGTTCTGATTCAATATATTCGTTTTGAAAGGTATTTTACATGGTTTTATCGTTGGTTATGTGTTGATTGTTTCGCTGTAGTTTAGTGCTTGTAATGACTATAATAAACCTCCATATTTAGAACGTGGTGTCATCTGGTTTTCAGAAATAAGTTAGTTTCTGTGTACAGTAATATGGGACAGACAATCCAAAAAGACGTTTCAATCATCAGTAAAAAACTCGTAAGAGAGCAGATACAAGGTGGGGTGTCTCAACTTTCTACATAGTACATTTGCCTGGTGAATACGTATAAAGTATCCCTGTCATCGCTCTGGCTAATCTTCTAGAAAGGCAGTAACATTGCGTCTTACCGTGATTTTTAGGCTCTGTAGTCGTGTTTCTTAATTTCTGGATTTCCGCACTGTTTAGTATCCCTAGTCGAGTTTAAGTAGTTCATGTATGCTGGTACTCAATTCTAGTTTTAGGACTCAAGTCACTCTAAGATATATATCGATAACTCCACATCATTTTCAATGCGCTTGTTAGTATTCGAGCAAGATATTTGCTCACTGAGTGTCATAGTAAAAGCCTATCAAAAAAACTTCGGTGACCAACTCTTTTCTTCGACCTCTTCATAGTCTTTTTCTGTGATGCATATTGTTTTGGCGCCGACTTGCTCCAATGTATTGTTTAAATAATTAAGTAGATCAAGACACTACACCTATTCCTTTATACAATTATGTTCTGACCACTGCATCAATATGATATGATTCTCAATTTATGCAACAATGGAATTGTCAGATGTAGTGGTATAACAGAGTCGATGGGGCGTCCTGAAGTCACTGTCAATTCAAATTCAGTCATAGCATCGTAGTCAGAATGTCCTGGAAATTCTCTGGTTTCAAGCTCATTACACAATATTCAGCTGTGTCCACGACTCATACACTAAATCAAACTCTACAAACCACACATCAATCTCACGTGAATCAGTCAGTCAGTCAGTAACAACGTAGAACTTCGTACATACGTACATCAGTTCGAGTTGCCATACCACATTAGCACAGAGATGCAGTTGTCGATTCAAATCCCATAGTGGTAGAGTTAGTAAAAGTATAAGCAGTAATAGGGGATATTAGGGTTTGGAGATGTTATTCAAGGAGTATAATTCAGTGAAATAAAGGGACATGAAGGATTCAGAAGAATAGAATTTGGGAGAACACAAAGAGTGGATGCACCTGCGCCATTGCAAATGATTTTGAGCCATGTCATTCAGGGTCTCTAACCATCAGTTGCTATCATCTCGCGGTCCCCAACCAGGTAGTCTACACCTACCAACATGACTCAGTCCACTTGTCAGTGACTTCATGGACTTGTGCCATGTTTTGGTTTGGCCGCCTCTAGCTTTCTTCCAACCTACTCCTATACCACTGAACATAGCACGTCGAGGCAGTCGGTCGTTGGGCATACGTAACCCATGTCCCAGCTATCTCAACTGATGAAGTTTTACCACTTCATCAATTGATTTGCCATCCTTACCTAGTACCCGTTTCCTAACAACTGTGTTACTTACTCGATGGTCCCATGATATACGAGCAATGTTTCGAAGACACCTATGATCAAATACTAGTAGCCTACGGATATCCTCTACTCTTACCGGCCATGTTTCACTGCCATAAAGTAGGACGGAACGAACTGCTGCACAGTAAACACGTCCTTTGGTGGATAGACGGATATCTCGCCTACGCCATAAATGACGCAAGTTGGCAAAAGCTAGTCGAGCCTTCTGTATCCGTGCTGAGATTTCGTCACACACCAGACCACAAGGGCTGATGAGACTTCCAAGATAAGTGGAGCAGTCGACACACTCAACCACTTCACTCCCTATCACTAGTTCGGGTGTCGATGTAACCCAACCCTGAAGCAACATTTTGCATTTCGAGGGGGAGAACCGCATCCCGAACATGCTTGCATTGTTGCTTACGGTGGTCAGAAAACTTTGCATTTTGTCAGCGTCTTCACCAAATAGAACTATGTCATCGGCATCTTCTAAGTCAACAAGTGAATCTCCTGGTAGAAGTTCAACTGGAAATTTAGATAGGGGAAGTGTTATCTATAAAAACACGTCAAGGACAATGTTAAATAAGAATGGAGAGAGTGGACAGCCCTGACGAACACCACTTGAGGTAATTAATTCTGATGACAGTTCGCCATAAGCTCTCACTCTACCAGTTGTGTTCGAGTAGAGAGCCTTTATAAGGTTAATGTACTTCTTTGGTACTCCTTTCAGTGACAAACACTGCCATAGAACCTCACGATCAACAGAGTCGAGTGCCGCCTTAAGGTCGAGAAATACTACGATTGTGGGGCGTCTGAATGTGTGTCTGTGTTCTAGAACCTGACGTATTGTAAATATCTGATCTATACAACCACGTCCAGGTCGAAAACCGGCCTGGTTTTCTCTAATCTGCTCTTCACGAGCTTTGATTAGGCGTCGAAGTATTATTGAGGCTAATATTTTAGACACTATATTAGTCAAATTGATTCCTCTGTGATTGTCACAAGAGGACTTTTGTCCGTTCTTATAGACTGGCACAATCAGTGATTGAGACCAGTCAGATGGGATTACGTCCAGTTCCCAAATTCTACCTAAGACCTCGGTTAATCTCATTGCTAATACTGGACCGCCATCCTTAAAAATCTCAGGAGTAAACCTGTCAGGGCCTGCTGCTCTCCCTCGTTTCAGATGTCCTATGGCTTTTTCAACTTCGTAAAGGGACGGAGGACCTACATTATCTTGCCATTCAGGTTGACTAGAGATCGTGGGAAACCGAAGTGTGGCTGAAGGCCAGTTGAACTGATCCCTAAAGTGTTCTGCCCATCGATCCAATCTCCTGGATTGAGAATGAATAATATGTCCATCTTTCTCTGAGATTGTTTCGCTAACAGTCGGGTTCCTTATTCCGGTTTCCTTAACGAGTCTGAACAATTGTCTGCTATTACCTATTGCCGCTGCCTTTTCCATCTCTCTTGCTTTCGCTACCCACCACTGTTCACGATCATTGCGTAGCCTTCTTGTCAGCTTGCGCTTAAGCTGACTCCGCTCTTCATTATGTTCAGATCCAGATGGAATTAGTTTTCGAGCATCTATCAGTGCGGTTGATGCTGCTGAGATCCAGTGTTGTTCCCTAACCTTACGGTTTACCGTACTAGCAGATATCACTGATGTTTCCACAGCTTTTCGAATAAAATTCCATGCTGCCTCGGGGTGGGCATCACATTTCTCGAGGAACCTGAAAAGGAAATTGGATTAGTGTTGGTCTTGACGACCTGGGAGCGTGACCGCAGAGCCCAAGGGACATCTGCTTGAGGCCGGTCGCGCACGGCTTTTTTGTGGAAGGTTTTTGACGTGTTAGCTCTGTTCTTCAAAGGGCCTTACCGCCGGAGACGGAAATCCGTGAGGTAAGGTGAGGTGTGACATTTTTAGGGTCGACCTGTTCTAACCCCACCCCTCCTTGTGGGAAGGCAGCATCGCTGTCATGCTGGTTGTCCGAGGGAAACACCTTACTGCTGTCACACCTCTCTACAGTCAGCAGTACGACTTCACCCTCAGACCTTGAGTTGCTGCTTTTAGTCTTACCGTTCTCCAATCGACCTGCCTGGCATGGTAGAACATACAGGAACATATGTTCCAGCGAATATAGCTCGGTTGGGTCATCACGATAGGCAAGCCCGACCACTGCGTCAAGGTAGCAGCTTCGGTCGGGTCTCACGTGAATCATTGGCTTCGGACACGTCGGGTGCTAGCATCTTTGTAAATTAAATCGCGCAACATGTACTTCGTTCAAAGAGGGAAAAGTGAAGTTTATTACTTTTATTTCATGTCAATATCCCGATTGCAACGAAAAAAGAGAAACACAAACATAATTTGTAATAGGATTGAAGAATATATGAAGCAAATTGAAAGTTTCATCTTTTTGTCAGTGTTACGACGAAAGGATTGTATATCATTCCGTGATGGTACGACGCCTAAAAATTAGGCCAAACAGTTCGCTTTTAGTTGCTTGAAAAATTAGTGACATATAAACTACTTACCTCTAATGACTGCCAAGAGTTTTATCTCACCAAATATGCGAAACGTCCTTCATAACAGTACTTTGACGGGAAGTTAATTTCCTTGTAATCTAAATCGCTTCATTTACCGGTGAATGAGGATTTGAGTTAACATAGCTAATAAACATGAGTTTTTCATCCAGTGTGATATGTCATTTGTTTCGTAAAAGTTATCAATCTCCAACTAGTTAATGTAAGCTTTATCTTCAAATATATCCATTTCGTAGCTTAGTATAAAACACTAACATTTATTAGAAAAAGTACATATGACCATACATGATTATTGTGCTCATTTGTGTTTGAATTAATGATGTTTTCCATTCATGAGGTTGAGGTCCACGTATTCGCTTTTGAGCCACAATGTATGCTAGGGTTAGTGAGGTCGAAACCGAAACACGTGTAGCTAGGTTTACACTTGGTACCCACTGGTTGAAAGCTGAGTGCTTTAATAACGAGGCTACAATTCCCCATTATCTAACACAAGTAGAGCGATGCTCAGAAACCCAAATGCAAGGTATCTATATTTATTTCAATTAAAACCCAAGAAACAAACATTAGCGTCTCAAAGCCCTCTAAAATTTCGTTGCTGCGAATACGTTACAGTTAGGGTAAATTAATACCGTTCAGCTGTTGTGCTTCCCGTTAATGAATTCTATCAATTCAAAATTATAAACAGAATCATAAATCGCCTAAGCAAACATCTGGGACAAGTTATTCAATATAATTAGGGGAAATTTTTAAAAATTAGATTGCAAACTGAGTACAAATAATTCTCATCTCACTGTCGGTAAAAGCTTAAGGCAACCAACCATAAATGAAGTCAAAATGAAGAAGAACTCTTGATGATAGAAACAGTCAATAGTTAAAGTGTAAGTCGGGATTATGATGAAACAGAGAAATTTTGTTGTATTCCTACAGAAAAGTATGTTACTTAACAAATAAAAATGAAAAGTAGCATGGACATATTTTTGTTGCTTTGTTGAATGCATAGTGTTTCTGAGAAGCTTCCCATTGCTTAAATAAACATGTTCTAGTTTTTTGGCCTAAACTACTTTACTTTCTATGCGCTTATCTATCATGTGTTAAGTTTAATTATGTCTGATAATTACTGCTTTTTAGACGTCGAGATGACGATCATTCGCGTAACAGAAAACGTCGGTCGCGATCTCGTTCCCGCTCTCGTTCTCCTGTTCTTCCTAGGAGGGCATTTTCATCTACTTTAGAAGGGTCTCTACCTTTAGCTGCTTCGTTGCCAACATCTTCATTAATGGGTTCGTTACTAGCTGCTCAGGCAAAAGCAGCTGAAGAAGCGGCTGCCAAAGCCAAGGCAGAAACGTCTAAACCTGCAGTTGGTACTATGACTGCTATTGCGAATGCAGCAGCTGATATGATCAAAGCTGCTCGTAATTCTGGTCAAGGTATCGCAGGTATGGAGGGTGCTCTTGTCATTACTCCGAATATGGACAAAGATATTGAACAGCGTCGTCTTGATCTTGAAATGCAAAAGGTAGGATTCAACTAACGAGTTCTGTTTTTTTTTACTTACCACGATATCCCTTAATTTACAACTTTATATTATAGAGACGAGAACGAGTAGAAAGGTGGCGACGAGAGAGAAGGCTCAAACAAGATATTCTTGCAGCACAACAGAGACTTGCAGAGAGCACCAGAGGAACTACTATTAATAAGTGGAATCTAGAAGATGATGAAGACGAAGAAGATACAAATAAAAAGAATGTTCAGATGGAAAAATCTACAGAAGATGATGACGTAGATCCACTGGATGCTTATATGCAGGTGTGTCCTCGTAATGAACCTATGTTCTGTTTTTTTTTAAATGTTCGTTGTCGTTTGCTTTTGAGTGATTTGTCACGTGACTACAAACAATTAAGGCTTTTTATAGATAGGGATTCTATGTATCTTGAATTCTTCGGATACATGAGTTTTTTTAGTGTGTATTAAAATCTAATATACAAGATTCTAAGTCGTGTAACTGTTACTTGACAATCGAAAGCTAGACGCTTGTAACATTTTCGTATGATAGTTTTCTTCACTCTCATACAAGATAGCCAGTGATCGTTTCTTTTACAGTTTGAACAGTTACAGTTTGTTGCCATAACACATTGTTTTATATTCACCAATCCACTAAGGATCAGTTCGACATCTTATTGTTCATATATTTTAGGTATATAAACACGGCTCGCTATTCACAATCTACAGCTTCTGTCTTGTTTCCTTTGACCGTCTGGGTTCAAATTTTGTGCTTGTAGCGGTTATGGTGAATTATATATTAAATACACGAAATATTTGTTAATTATAATATTTTACTTTATCCCAATAACGTAATATCTGTAAACGTACATTTGTGTACATAATTCTTCCTTGCGAATTTAATAGAGATATTACTTGTTGAAAATGGATATCATTTAGATAATGTTAGATCATGTTTTTCAGATAATACTGTCTTACATTTTATACATATATAGTCATTAGTATAGAATGTTTGCTGTAAAATAAAGTAGTAACACAGTATCACATATAAATCTCTGGTATCTAATATTCCGGCGTACTTATGGACCTTCACCCAAGGTGTCATTTTTCAGTCCACTCAAACGATGAAGGACAAGCAAAGATCTGAGCTTTATCGGAAGTTAAGCATTTCAGGAGTTCATACTTCCATCATGGATCGTTGATAGAGAACTATCGAACCCTAAGTCATAATTGTTCGTTTCCTGGAGTTAGTTACTTAGTAATTATACCTATTAATATTGTTTTATGTCAACTTGATATGTTCGTGTGCTAAGCTACTATTTTGCAACTCCAGCAGTGGAAGCTGCTGTTATCTTCTTCCCTGCCCGCTAACTAGAATAAGTTCAGTAATTTTATAGAGGCTCTGTCGATAAATACCAGTAGAATCCAAAATATATTTTAGATAATCGGTTGTATATCAATTATGATGACCATAGTTTAGGAACTAAGTAATTTTCAGTAAACACAAATCATACTGAAAAATTCATTAAAAGGTCTATGAACAGAATAAATTAATGTAATGAAAATTCATCTCAAATCAATATTGATTTTCTTTCGCCCAAGTTGTATTTGGGAATTCACCACCTCCAACAGAGCCACCGTGTTTAGTGATGTAATGCTGCTTGATGTATCTCCCATATTGTGCTAGTCTATCTTTTATGAAGGACTAAAATGTAATCCTTATAGTTACAGGCCGCATAGTAGAACTTCTGGGAAGTAAGTTTTATTACATTTCCTTACAGGGTAACAACGGATGCCTCAATCTACCAATCCCTGTGGTTCAATGACCCGGTTCATTTTGGACGAGACAACTTTCTATATTAATTTCAATGGTTTGTGGAGTATTGCCGTTTATAAAATTGTCCTACCTTCAAAGTTCGTCCAAGAATCATTTTGTATGTATGATATAACCAGCTCATATGTTTGGACTTTCACTGAGTATAATCAATATCAAAGGACAAGTGTTATCCGGAGTCGATCTCTATATCAATTCTCATGAAACTCAACTTATAAGGTAGTTTCTGGTGTCTTTGATAAATAATTATTTTCAGTTTCTGCACCCACTCCTATAGGTTTCCTAGGAAGGCAGATAATGTTTTCCACTTATTAGGATTAATCCACTGTTTTTTCTGCATTTCAGGAGTTGAATAATCAAGTTTCCGCTGGTCCTGAAACTACTAAAAAAGATACTAAAATTACTAAACAATCTGAAATTTCACTAAAAACTTCTAAAGATACCGATCACGCTTCTTCAGATCCTTCAGTCAAACCTAAACAACAGTTAGTAATTAAACGGAAAAGAATTATTGGGCGAGGTGAACTGATGGAAAGTAACATAGATGAATTAGAATATTCATCTGAAGAAGAAGACACAACAATTGAGGATGCATTGGCTCAGCTACAGAAAAAAGACAAACTTCAGCCTATTGATCATTCCAAAATTGAGTATTTCCCCTTTCGCAAAAGTTTTTATGTAGAAGTTCCAGAACTAGCAAAAATGTCAAAGGAGGATGTTAAAGCGTATAGAGCTAGTTTAGAAAATATCCGCGTCCGTGGTAGAGAGTGCCCTAAACCCCTACGCAATTGGGTCCAAGCAGGCATTAGCTCTCGCCTTTTGGCTTGCCTAAAAAGGTATGTTTTTTTCAATCATCAACATTTTGTTTATTCGGTAAGTTACACAAAACTATCACGATTCCATTCCCGTTTTGGTTACTGGTTTTCGTACTAGTTAATTATTTTCACATTAAACATGCAAAAACTTTATAATACTATGAATCAATTGCTTACTATGTGATTTAGGCTTAATAGTTGCATTTTTTTGGTCATAGTTCTGACTTCTAAGTGTAATATGAATATGGTATGAGCCCAATTTTCCCTTGTTATAAATTTAGATGAAGTAAGAATAAGAATCATAGCAGAATAGTAAGAATCCACTTATTTCGCGAATTGTCTTCACCTGCTCAAAACCTAGAAACCATATCTATTTTTTTAAAACGAATGCACATACTTTATATCAGTTATCAGAAAGTCTTCAAAGAAGACTAATGAACAAACAACAAATATCAGAAAATTATAAGAAGCGTTCATGGTGTTGAATATTTACACGTTAACTAATGTGAAGATTTTAGAAAAGGATAATTAATGTCCAAAGGTACGTAATAACAACGAAAAAAATTGCAAGATTAACAGAATAAAATCAGGAAAGGTTTGAAAAGATACTTGAATATAGGAATTCATAATTGAAAAAAAAAAACATTACAATTATTGTTCATTTTCAAATGTAATTCATACGATTGATCAGATATTTGTATCGATAAGCTATTTAGCTCGGTTTATTTTCACTCAAATAACGTTCGTTTAATCCTTTTTCTCAGGAATAATTTCGATAAACCCACTCCAATTCAGTGCCAGGCGTTACCCGTTATAATGTCTGGTCGCGATATGATTGGTATTGCCAAAACAGGAAGTGGGAAAACCCTAGCTTTTCTAGTACCGCTTATGCGTCACCTGGAACATCAAGCTCCTCTAAACCCTGGAGATGGCCCAATCGCCCTTCTACTGGCACCTACTCGGGAACTTGCACTACAAATATTTAAAGAAACAAAAAAGCTATGTCAAGCCGCCGATGCTCGCGCAGTTTGTGTCTATGGTGGGACTGGTATTAGTGAACAAATTGCTGAACTTAAACGCGGAGCTGAAATTATTGTCTGTACACCTGGTCGGATGATCGATATGCTTGCTGCAAATGGAGGTAATGGTTTAATCTAGAAATACTCAACTATTTATTTCCACTGTTCATTATCACAGAAGTTCACCACATCATCAGACTTGGCAGTTCTCCTAGGCAACATGTTTATCACAAGATTTGATGATCATAAGTTCCGTCCTATTTGAGTTGCAGGTTCGTACAATATGATTGTGTATTAAATTGCAACTTGCTCACCCTTCTCGAATTAGCACTCATCGCCTATCCAAGTCTCTGGAGTCTCAAAAGTTTAAATGACTGTTAACTCTGTATTTCATGTTTTATTATATAAAATCTAACATTTCTTCATTGTCTGTTAAAATAACTTTTATTGGATCATTTCCAATTAATTATTGCTAAATATAAAATGTTTAGTTTTAATCTTTTATTCCACTTAGACGAGAAATTATTACGTGAGGTCGTTATTAGAAATAGTACACCTTCAATATTTCGAGGGTGGTATGTATGTTTGGTTAATATTTTCATATACATCATTTTCCAAACTATTTAGTTCATTGTTCTTTTAACTGCATAATTTGTGACCTGACATTTTCGTTTATCTTTTCAAAATCTAGGGAGAGTAACCAATTTACTTCGGTGCTCTTATGTGGTTCTTGATGAAGCAGATCGTATGTTCGATCTAGGATTTGAGCCTCAAGTTATGCGAATCATCGAGAATTGTCGTCCTGATCGACAAACTTTAATGTTTTCAGCTACATTTCCTAGACAAATGGAAATCCTTGCCCGTAAAGTGCTAACGCTTCCCATAGAAATCCAAATCGGTGGACGATCGGTGGTTTGTTCAGACGTGGAGCAGCATGCGGTGAGTGAAATCATACAACTTTGACCTATCGTTGTAAAATAAAACCCAATTGTAATATCGGGTTTGTAGCGCAATATTATTACCTTTCCACTGAGTGTGCTGAAGTAAAAGTTGAAAGGTATATATATATATATATATATATATATATATATATATAGTTTTTCTAGTTTCTTAGACTGGGTTGCGTGAGAATGTTACAGCTTTGTACCTAGATTAGAAATGAAGTAAGTAGTTTCTGAAAATTAGCAAGCATTGCAACATTTGTCACTTAATTATATCTGTCGGAGATAAACTTCGAAAATATTCCAAGTAGTTTATTCTTAATAGAATACAAAACACTAACAACAAGAAACTGAAATAACGCCAAAACATTACTGATCATAAAAATCCCGTAGCAGAACTCATAGTTTACACCTCTCTTAAAAATCGTTGGGTGCATAAAATTTCGTGTTGTCTCTTACTGTCAGATAGGTTGATCAATATATTAGTAGATGTAATTAATTAACCATAATATCTAACTTCTAGTTAATGTCAATTCAGTTTATGACTGCAATTATATTGTAAATAGATTTTAAACAAGACAATGGGTGATGGTCGCACAGCAATGCAAGGTGGCTGAAGGTAGAAATGAAAACGATTGTATACCAATTTAACGACCCTGAGGTTAAGCGCTCTCCACGACGACTTAATTCTCGGTGTTCGGTCCGTGCTGGGTTTGCGAATTCTCACTGATGAGTAGTCCCATACTCAGACGGATCACCTATCCAGTCCTTTCTATTTTTCAGTGATTGTATGACCAAAGTCAGTCCGTAACTTGAAAATTCAAATTCAGTTTTTTTATAATAGGGTTAAAACACGGCTATTCAGTAAGTCTAGAGTTTCATAATTTATTGTTTACATCAAACTTCTGTAAATGTTGTGTAATAGTTATCAGTCAGTCAGTCAGTCAGCTACAACGTAGGACCAGGCACATATGTGCATCGGTCCAGGTTGCCATACCGCATCAGCACAACAAGATGAACACCGGATTCATAGCAGTGGTTAGGTCAAAGGTGGTAATATATAAGAGAAAGATTACATATAGAGATATAGTACAAGAAGAAAAAATTGGTTCGTAGAAAGAAAGATATGAAGCGATTTTAATCTCTTAGTTTAAGGGAAGACAAAGAGTGTATACACCGACGCCATTGTGATCGATTCTGAGCCATGTCACCAAGAGTCTCCAACCATTGGTTACGATAGTCACGCGGACCCCAACCAAGTAGTCTGCATCTACCAACATGGCTCAGACTAGAAGTTAGTGACTTCAAGGACTGATGCCACGTTTTGGTTTGGCCGCCCCTAACTTTCTTCCAACCATCTCCAATACCGGGTAGCACTGCACGTCGTAGTAATCGGTATTCAGGCATACGTAACACGTGGCCCAACCATCTCAGTCGATGAAGATTCATAACCTCATCAACTGATTTACCATCCTTCCCTAATGCCCTGCGTCTAACCTCACTACTACTTACCCGGTGATCCCAGCAGACGCCAGCAATATTTCTAAGGCATCTGTGGTCAAATACTAATAGCTTACGAGTGTCTTCTACTCTTAATGGCCATGTTTCGCTGCCGTAAAGTAAAACAGAACGGAGTGCCGCGCAGTGTACTCGTCCCTTTATTAATAGACGGATATCTCGCCTTCGCCACAGGTGACGTAAGTTGGCAAAAGCCAAACGAGCTTTTCGAATCCGTGCTGAAATTTCGTCAGACACCAACCCATTAGGGCTGATCAGACTTCCAAGATAAGTGAAGTTGTCAACGCATTCGACTGCTTCACTCCCTATCTTTAGTTCAGGCGTTGACGCAGGCCAGTCCTAAAGCACTAATTTGCATTTAGAGGGAGAGAAGCGCATCCCAAACATTCTGGTATTGTTGCTCAGTGCTACCAGAAGACTCTGCATTTTATCAGCGTCTTCACCAAACAGGACTATGTCATCCGCGTATTCTAAGTCGATAAGTGGACCTCCTGGATGGCGATCAATACCCGAGAACTCAGTCGACGAGAAAGTTATTTCCATCAGTAGATCTATGATGAAGTTAAACAAAGATGGGGAAAGTGGACAGCCTTGACGGACACCACTTGAGATTGCAAAAGCAGATGACAGTTCGCCATAAGCTCTGACTCGATTGTTAGTGTTCGAGTAAAGAGCCTTCACAAGGTTTATGTACTTCTGAGGCACGCCTTTCAATGACAGACACTGCCACAGAATCTCACAGTCTACCGAGTCAAATGCTGCTTTCAAGTCAAGAAAGACCACCATTGTCGGACGCCGATAAGTATGCCTGTGTTCTAGAACCTGACGAATGGTGAATATGTGGTCGATGCAGCCACGATCAGGTCTGAAGCCAGCTTGATTCTCTCGTGTTTGCAGTTCACGAGTCTTAGTTAAGCGTCTGATAATTATCGAGGCTAGTATTTTAGATACTATATTAGTTAAACTAATCCCTCTATGGTTGTCACAAGATGATTCTAACCCTCTCTTATATATTGGGACGATAAGTGATTGTGACCAGTCAGATGAAATAACGTCTAACTCCCAGATCTTAGCTAAAATATTAGTCAACCTAATCGCTAAAATTGGACCACCATCCTTAAAGACCTCTGGAGCCAGTCCATCTGGACCAGCTGCCTTTCCTCGTTTCAGATTAACTATAGCCTTTTGAACTTCTGCTAGAGTTGGGGGACCTACTTCAATGTCCCATTCACGCTGTCTGGGAATGGAGGGTAGTTGTAGAGTAGCTGAAGGCCAGTTGAACTGTTCTCTGAAATGTTCCGCCCATCGTTCTAAACGTCTGGACTGGGAGCAGATGAGAGTATCGTCTTTTTCTGATATAATCTCACTTACACTTGACTTATTAATTCCAGTTTCTTTTATTAGTCTGTAAAGCTGTCTTGTGTTCCCTATAGTCGTCGCCTTTTCCATCTCTTTTGCTTTCGTTGCCCACCACTGCTCACGGTCGTTTCTTAGACTTTTTCTTAACCTAGATCTGATTTGTTGTCGCTCTTCATCATGTTCGGAACCTGATGGAACGAATTTGCGAGAATCCATCAGTGTGATAGACTTTTAGCTGCAGTCGGTGGGAGCGTATGCAGAAACGACAAAAAGGCAACGACGTGTGTCTCTTTCCTTCCGAGTTTTTACGGAGCCGTTTAGTCGAACAGCACATAGACGACTGTTGACGGGGATCCACTCTAACAGTGCTTGTTCCGCCCTCATGTTTAGTGCTATGCCTACTCCTGCCAGTCCACGAGAGCTGGCCATCGCGTCACCAGATACACGGAGGGTGTATCTCGTTGGCGGAGGAGGAAGACGGAGGTTGATTAGGAATACAGTGGTCTTGAGTGCTGTTAGAGGTATGAGGGCGGTTATCACTTCCCGGTTGCCCACACCGTGGAAGGGTTAATTACTTCGTAGTTTTTTAACTAATCAATTCATATAATGTAGTTCACTTATTCTTCCTTTTGATTTCAGTTCATCTTGTCAGAAGAAGAGAAAGTTTACAAAGTTCTTGAACTTCTAGGAATTTACCAAGAAGAGGGTAGTGTCCTTGTATTCGTAGAAAAACAAGAGAGTGCAGATGAGTTAATGCGTGTTCTTTTGAAGTATGGTTATCCATGTCTTTCTCTTCATGGTGGCATTGATCAATACGATCGCGATTCTGTTATAATGGATTTTAAGCGTGGCAATATTCGTCTTTTAATAGCCACATCAGTCGCTGCTCGTGGTCTTGATGTCACAGATTTGCTTTTAGTTATCAATTATGACTGTCCAAATCACTATGAGGATTATGTTCATCGTTGTGGGTAAGTTTTATATGAATTTGTAATCGTATGTGCTGTATTTTAACAGAAGTTCGTGTTTATTATTTCTGAACATAATTATTGTGAATTTTCTTGACTACTGGATTCATTTTGGCAGAATTATTCTTTTGGATAATTAAATGATAATATTAGTTCATCTAATGGCCTTTCTAAATGCTATGATTTTGTCATCTTGTTTTTACTGCATCAAAATCTGATATTTTCAAACTAAAGGAGTGTATAGCTTTTCTCTAGCATATCATTTACTTTTGGGAGTTCAGATTATTTTTTGTTCATAAATTGTTTAATCACACGACATATATTTTAAATAACTTACAAGATGCAGATATATGTACTTAATTCGGAGCACATGACTGGCTTTCAGTAAGATAATTACAGCAAAGAACATAAATAGATTTATATGTCTTATTTTTGTAGTTGTTATATAATACATGTGTTATAACGGTTGGTTTTTCACGTTTACACGTATGGGACGTTAATTTACCTTAGACGAATATCTCCACTAGATTCCCTCCCAGTGTCTATTTTACAGGACTTCAACATAACTCAGATCAAGAACACGTGATTAGCCTAACTAGAACCTAAATATATTTCCATACAAAACCCGACACAATCCAACAACAATGAACAATCAATAATAAGTGAGTAATAATAATAATAAGGATAGGGGAATATATAACTCATCTGACACCTGTTAGACTATCTACATGTCTGATTAAGCAGATAACCAATCATTATCATTCTCGTCGACATATCAACATGGTCTTTCTTTTCATGGTTACTTAAAGATTTAATCTTTATAACTCATCGTTGTTCTTATATTTTAGGCGTACTGGACGTGCTGGTCGCAAAGGGTTTGCCTATACTTTTCTCACTCCCGATCAGGAGCGCAGTGCTGGTGATGTTGTTCGAGCATTCAAGCAGAGTGGCCAAAAACCACCAGAGGAACTAATGAATATGTGGAATGCTTACAAGATACGAATGGAACATGTGTGTTTATGCTTATTTGTTTGTCATTGTATGCATCAACTGTTTGTTGGTAGTCTTTTTATTTTAGTGTGGTTTACTGTTAACGTATGCCAGTGTACGTTAGTGGAAAGCAACTTGAAAATGTCTACTTCTCTTGAATTAAAATGTGTTCTGAAATTATTTATTTTACAATCGGTCCTCAGCCCTCATGCATTTAACTCAACGTGCTAGGCATGCATCAATAAGCAGCAACAAATGTTCACCATAAGTTATTTGGGAATGCCACTAAAGGTAGGATTTCAACATTTCATGGTCGACAGTTTCTCATCATCATTTGCAGCTGCGAAGAGGCATATTTTGCCTTTGCAATTGCAGTTTTTTGGGCACTAACTCTTGCACGTGTTGTTCTCGCTTGATTTGGAAAAGCAATGCTTTTAACCTTAAGAAGTAACCTCAGTATAGTTCCTCAATTTTGAAAATTATTTATACTCCGATTGGAAGTGGTATAAACTTGTGTATGAAAATCAAATGTTTGATGAGTTCTGTTTGTAAGGAGGAAAAATAAACATATTTCGCTCTACGTGTTTAACACTTTCATAGCCGCTTTGAGTAGCATCTGTATTTGTTTCCAAGATCACCGTAAATTCATCCTCACAGTCGGAAAGATTGGTTTTAAGAAAGAAACTTGATTGCAGGCTAGAGATTTTCGTGTTGCAATCAAGCGTTTCTCATTCCTGTTTACCATAGTAATCGACGTTGTTTCTTAGTGAGTGTTCAATTTTACACAAATTATAAGTTTAGAGATATTACTATTTCTTAATATTTCCAGTTTAATGGAACTAAAGTAAACAACTAGATTTTAGTGTTTATGAGTTCATTTTATGTATTTCATTAACTATGTATTGATCTCATTACACTCAAATAAATCTGTTATCAGGAAGGAAAAAAGGTATACGGTTCTTCAGGTTTCCGTGGTAAAGGATTCATGTTTGATGAAGTGGAAGCTCAGCTGAATAGTGAAAAACGACGCCTGCAGAAAGCTGCTCTTGGTTTACAAGATTCAGATGACGAAGATGGTGATGGAAATGTCGATTGGGACTCGAAGATTGAAGATATGTTGGCCACGAAAACAAAAATTAAAGATGTATCAAAGAGTAATGCATCAGAAAATGTATCTGAAACTGTTGAAGTTAGGCAAGTTAACTTTCTAATAATATATGGTTGATTACAAATCAGAATTTTTATAATGTCAAGGATGAAAAAAATGTGCTGATTAGAGAGGAAAAATGTATTTGTAAAATCTCAGCGAATGCATTTTGAAGTAAATCCAACGTTTCGCCTGGCAATCTGGTCCAAGCTTTTTCAAGGAAATATAATCAAACATCTAAATTCATTCGCTGAGATTTTACAGATACATTTTTCCTCTTTAATGTCTCACATTAACTCGATGCCCAAATACTGTGAAAATATTCGATCAAATTTAGACGAAAGTTCTTATTTGTATGTACTGATTGGTTTGATCTCCATGGAAGCTCCTAAACTCATAAAAATTAACATATCACAAACATTTAACCTTTTTAGCTTTTTTCTAAATTCAAAATTCTCCTCCAGACTGAAGAACACTAGTTTTTCACGAATTGGTTCCAAATATTTCCCCAACCAAACTGAGTTTCTGTATCGATATTAAATTTAAGTCTGGTTGGAAGTACCTCATTGAATTTCACTTGTTTTCATATTACCTATGTAATTCCCTCTATTTCTAAGGAAGTCTTCGCATTAATGGGTCGTAATAATCGATCGTATTACTTTCACACTAAGTCAGTCATATTTTTTTGGTTTTTTGATTCACTTGATAATTATTTTCTTTATAGTTGTAAATACCAGAATAAGTTTTTTTCTCAAAAAAATTGTCTGGTTCCTTGTAAATACGATCTTCAATCTGATTATTAACATTTTTGAAACTACCTTGTGGAACGTAACTCATAAACTTCTGTATTTTCAATTTCAGTGCCCAAGCTGGACAAGCAGTTGTGAACGCAGCCTTAGCACTTGCTCGACAGAAGGCTGCACAGTTAGGACTCGTCAAACACTTGACTTCTGGTACTCCGACTGTTCCACAACCAAGCGCTGTTTTGAATACCACCACAGTCAGCGACCCTAATGCTACTATTGCGGCTGCGGTTGCTGCTGTCACGATACCTGTGCCTCCAGCTCCCACAAGCCGTACGTTGGCTGAACAAGCTGCCGAACGCTTAAATGCTAAACTTGGTTACACTAAACAAACACCAGGCGCTGGTGATGAGGAGGGTGCTGGTGCTAACACGAATTCGGGAAGTGACATGGTTAGAAGGTAAAATAATATTTTGCTTTCAACAAAATTATTTCCTATTTTAAAACATTTTATCTGCTTTGTATTATTGGTATCTCTAGTTTTATATGTTCCTTGACACCGAGCAATCAAGCTTATAATATACGCACCATTATAAACTAACTTCTCGCAATCACTTCAGTTGAATTATTCTAGAGTTATCTTAGTGATCATTATCAATAATCTGATTGTGCAGTCCTGCGAAGAAACAAATGGATTCAAAAGTCGTCTTTCGAAAATGATACTATAACATGAATGATCTGTTTGATTCAATGTCTATCTAATGTAATCTCTAGTCACACTCTTTATGGTCATAAAACTGACAAATGATTAAATCTATGTTTTTGACCTTCGTGAAATGTCATTGTAAATGCTTGACCATTCCCCTTAAATTGACATGACGTAAACCATAATATCCTCGTACATAGTGTTAAGTTCAAAAAATTAGTAGGTAATGGAAATTTATTCAACTCAGTGATTGCTTTTCACCAGCTCCCATTTCTTTTGACTATGATGTCTGTACCAGATTTTATTCAAATCAACTAAGTAAAGCTTATAAATAAATATATTTGTAACATCCCAATGAGTAGAAAAATTAAATCTTCTGACGTTTGGTAAGCCACTTCTTCAGAGAATAAATAACCAAACCATTGGGATATTACAAATATATTAATTTATTTATAACAATCTTCCCAATGCTCAATTTATTCAAAATTATCAAATCAAACATTGGTAATGAAACTATAAATAAAGCTTGTTCAATTGTTTCTATGGATACTATTAAAATACATCCGGCTTATCTTGGTTTGAACAGAACGCTGTTATGCGATTAATTATGTCCGTAATATTGTTAAGATATGCGTGTTGTTTAAGTTGTATAACAAAGTTTCTGATTATTAGTTGTTTTTACTGAGTAACACATTCTGTTTCCAATCTCAGTGGTGCAAATACTCATAAAGATAGTAAGACCATAAAAGATAGCAAGTAACTACATTTTCTTGAAAATAAACAGATTTGATACTTGTAAAATAATTCCAGAAGCTTCAATACCATTCCAGATAAGCTCTGACAATGTTATCCGTAATGACGATAAAAAATTTACAAATGAACCACCTAACTCAGCAAAATTTATTTTTATAAAACTTACCTACGCTACAAATTTACTCCATTTTACATGACAAAATTATCATCTAAGATCTGAATACTTCATTAACAACGAAGAAATCTGCACAAAAGTTTCACCAAAATATCACTTTTCAGGATCTCCAGCTATACTACTTTGATGTCACCAGTTTTTCGCAACTAGTGTAATCGTATCCATTATAAAACACGAATCTCAGATTTGAATTTTTTCGAAGAACATAATACTCGTGTTTATGTTTAATGGTACATTTTAAATTTCAGATACGAAGAAGAACTAGTTATCAATGACTTCCCACAAAACGTCAGGTGGCGTATCACTGGTCGCGAAATGCTCAATCACCTTAGTGACTATTGTGATGTTGGCGTGTCTGTACGAGGAGTTTATATGCCACCTGCCAAAGCTAAGCAACATATACCCGAAGGTACAGATGACAGACCACTGTATTTATGTATTGAGGCTGTCAATGAAAGACAAGTCGCTTTGGCTAAAAAAGAAATTATGCGTATTATCAAAGAAGAATTAGTCAAATTGGTATGTATTAATTCCCAGTTTATATTTCTCTATCGGCACATTAGATTGCTGTACTGTATTTATTAAGGTATTCACTTATTATTGACATCAAGGAACAATTGAGTAACCACCAAGTTCGCAAAGCTGGGAAATTCATTTAGATCTTGGAACCTTTAGTTGTATTCATAAATTTCTCTACTAAATAACTAGAATATAACATCTCCCACTTGTTTCTTACAGTTATCCAAATTCTACGTGCTCGTGTTTGTACAATCTCTGTCACAAGCGTAGCTTTCAGAGTTGATTATAGTAGGATAAAGCAAATATTTCAAATCAAATTATTGTCTCCCTATTTCTCTTTGCTATAGTGCTTGAAGAATTTTTTGATCTTATTCTGTTGTTCGAAGGAAGAAGAGCTTTACTGCACTATTTTTTTTCACTTCCAAAACGCTTTTCGTAATATAGCCATTAAAAATTACGAATCTATCTACCTAAATTGGAAGAATTATCGTTCTCAATAAACTGGTTCTAAAATAAGGCCTTCAGTACACTGTTAAACTAAGTTGAAACCTGTCCGCTTTCTTGATTAAGTAGTTGTGAAATTATTCTAACAACTCACTCCTATTTTTATATATCAGAATCAACAATATTTACTTTATTAATCCAAAAAATTGTCAGGTTTAAAGCAAAGTAAATTAGTCAGTGCTCAGGAGATTGTTAGTGACGTCAAACAAATATTAATAAGTACAAGGATATGTAAATAAAAATTACGGAAGATTGTATGTACATTAGTCAAATTATATGATTCTATAATTAAGATTACCATTGATTGTTGTCCATGAGGTTGACCAAGGTAAGAAATATGGGTTGGATATATTTGTTTTGTACGCAGTCATGTTGCTTCTGCCGTTTAAAGGACTTCAGATCGAACTGGCTTTAGTAAAAGGTTAACAACCCGATAAATTCAATCAGTCAGCTACAATATAGGACCAGGCACATATATGCGTCAGTCCAAGTTGCCACATCTCATTAGCACAACAAGATGAGCACTGGATTCATAGAAGTAGTTAATTTAATGGTGGTAAATTACTGATAAAGATTAACTTGTACTGGCTATATGACCAGTCTCTACTGAATAGGCTAGTATTTAGCTGTTCACTGCCTTAAGTACAGCTCTGCTTCGCCACACTGGGAGGAGTCCACTAGCACGAAGATGTAAATTCTTAAAACCTCAACCAATATAACTTGCTCCACAAGAGCAGTTGAATCGTTACATACAAACGAGGTGGCCAATCCACGTAATTCATCTTTTAACTTCAGTGTCACCATCGAGCAGTGCTTAATGTTCTTTGGATTGTTCTACGTAATCTCTGGGTTAGTATTTCACTGGTCGCATCACCTCTGAATAGTAGGGACATGAACACGAATTTCTTATTCCCCGTTTGTATTTCGCTTATTCTAACCTATGTGGTCATATATTTGTTGGTAAAATTTCCAGGTTATCCGTTTTCCCCAAGGGTATTACAAAAGACGTTTGGTTTTTCTTTAACTAGATCAGTAGAGCATATAGGACGTATTCGGTAACTATGGGTTTTAAAAAATTCTTTGTTCATATATGAATGTCTTAATGTGACAGGGATTCCTAAAGAGCCTAAATTATTATTAATCGCATAGATATCTCCCTTCCCTTCAATATATATAAAACTTTTGTTGGTATTTTCGTTGCCTTGAGTTACTGCAATGCAAATTTTGTTCGCATATCTAACTTACCAGACTTGAAAAGAATAGTTACACAAATCGTTAAAACAATTTCGTTATCCATCAATCATGGTTGTATATGTGTGGAGTTTTTCCATTTCTGTTTCATCAACCTCATAATCACGTATAATCATGTTACTTTTTTATATTATGTTTTAGCAATCTGGCAATTCAATAAATCGCGGACGCTACAAGGTTGTTTAATTTATCATTTTAGTATTTCCATTTGAATTGTTGTACATATTCTGACAGTAATGATATCTACATTAGCAATCGCGATTTATTCTTATAAATAAATGCTGTCTTGTCATATACATCTTTGTAGTTCTATTGATATTTAAGTCGGAATTCAGACAATAATGTATTGTTTTATTTATTACATCTCTTACAACTTATTTTATGTCTAAGGTTTGTTAATTACCTCAACTCACATTTCAGTTTCACTAACAATGCGTGATTGGTTGTTAGTCAAACTTCTGTTAAATATTCTATTCTATGTTTAAGTAATATGGTTCGTCAGAAATTAGGGTTTTCGTCCGATGATCATTTAACTGATTCTATCAGTGAAAGGTTTATATAAATATCTCATCTTATATGGATCCCCGTAACAATTGTAGATATACAGATACAATTGTTTCGACGCTACTCTTAAATTAGTCACTTTCAGGTTTTCAATGGTGGTCAAGCTTAAATTGACTCGTGAATTCAACTGTTAAGATTACTACAATCTCCACAAATCCCCATACTGATATTGATCATCTGCCCACTATTGACTAGCTTCAAGATGGGATATCCAGGAGATCTAGTGAGAAGTCGTGACCAGTAGAATTAAAACTTCCTCGAGTGTGAGAAAGTTATCCACCTCAGATAATAGATGGAGGGTTGCTCAAGATCATGAATCAATTGAAGTCAGACACTAACACTGTCGTATACCGGCTCAATGGTCTTAAGGTTAAGCGTCCACGCACGAGGCCGAAGGTCTCGGGTCCGAGTTCGACGTGCGGGATCATGGGTGCACACTTCTGAACAGGAGTACCATACTAGGATGAAACGGACGTCCGGTGCTTTTAGGTTTTCAATGGTGGTCTAGTTTATATCGACTCTTTAATACAGCTCTGAAAGTACTTTCACAATTGTGAAAAAATATCCTGTAGGTCACTACATCAGCTCACTTCTCGTGAAACGAATATCAGAAGTCTTGTTTACGTTTAATTAATGAGTGACACACCCATAGGATTTATACTTGTCTAGGAAGTGTAGACAAACCTTGATATGATAATGAAGAACAGCACTGCCCAACTTATGGAACCAATGATGGTTTCTCTTGATTTAAAAGCAGCACTCGGTAGACCGAGAGGTTCTGTGTCAGTGTGGCGAACTGTCATCTGATTTTTTAATTTCAAGGTGTCCAGCAAAGCTGCCCACTCGCCATTTCAGTTCAATTTCATCATTGCCCTACTACTGGAAATAACGTTCTCGTCGTCTGAATTTTCGGGAATTGATCTCTTACCAGCACGTTCACTTATCGATTTAGAATATACAGATGATATAGTCCTGTTTGGTGAAGACGCTGATAAAATGCAGAGTCTTCTGGTAGCACTGAGCAACAATACCAGAATGTTTGGGATGCGCTTCTCTCCCTCTAAATGCAAATTAGTGCTTTAGGACTGGCCTGCGTCAACGCCTGAACTAAAGATAGGGAGTGAAGCAGTCTAACGTGTCGATAACTTCACTTATCTTGGAAGTCTGATCAGCCCTAATGGGTTGGTGTCTGACGAAATCTCAACACGGATTCAGAAAGCTCGTTTGGCTTTCGCCAACTTACGTCACTTATGGCGAAGGCGAGATATCTGTCTGTCAATTAAAGGACGAGTATACTGCGTAGTAGTTCGCTGTGTTTACTTTACGGCTGGGAAAGGTGGTCATTAAGGTTAGAAGATACCCGCAAGTTAACAGTATTCGATCACAGATGTCTTAGAAATATTGCCCATATCTGCTGGGATCACCAGGTATGTAGTAGTGAGGTTGGAGCAGGGTATTAGGAGGTGTTTATCTTATTATGTTATTAAGATGTGGCAACTTGAACCAATGCATATATTTGTCTGTTCCTACAGTGTAGCTGGCTGACTGATTGAGAACCAGCATGAGTAGTAGAAAAAAGTATGAACAGACTGGTGTACGTAGGGTCAATGATAAGTCACCGAGTGTTAGACCAGTCAACAATCAAGGTGGATAGTAGACACGGTACACTGCAGATTGCTGAACGTTAGACAGCTGTCGAAACACCATTTAGATCAACCCTGACTGGTCACTTGCACACTGTAGTCTGGCGCATGCGCTAGCGATTGTACTACGTACTTCTGCAGCTTTTCCGTATAATAAATTTCGTTGGTGAGACCATGCTCGTTCCACGCAGCCAACAAGTAGGTAAAAAGCCTTGATATCATAACAAGATGGAACAGGTTGGTCCTCAACCGTGAAGTGTGACTCCGATATAATTCACACCACAAGATTTCTGTCCAACTGGAGTAGATTCGTCACTCTCATGTGTGATATACGTGTATGAATCGGACAAATATGAATTCAGATAACATTTAGCACAACGTGACATACTATTATGTATAAATCCATTTATCTAATTGGAGAATAACTTATATCTCAGGAACAAAATGCACTGTGAATATTGCTCTGGATAGTGGACACGTCTGCCCAATTTAGTTGCTTCACGGAGGTTTGTGGCTAGTGCATTGCCTACTGTCAATTCCTCTATTGTTGTAAGGTCCTTTTGAAGGTGAACCTACAGATCCCATCGTCTGTATTGATCAGTCCCACTGAGCTAAGCTTTTGTAGCAGTTAGATTGGGAACAGAAGTAGACCCAAGTCTATTCCTCATGAAACTCCTGATGTTGCTTTATATTGCTATTATTATTATCTTTATTCATTATTATATTTTTTGGTACAATATAGAATTCTTAGTGCAAAGTATTTCAACAGGTTTCTGTTTCTTATTTCTTGATCGATCGTGACGATAAATATTGAGTGATCGCCAATTAGATGTCAGCAGTTCAGGAATCGACATCCGAATAATGTACATTCTTTTCGATGTACATTGCCAGCAACCACAACGACTTTGATTGTGCCCTTTTCTAACTTGTACAGCGAAAGGTCGTGAACTTTTCACAAGCACACCTGGTTACGTTGTGCAATTGATTGATATAGTGCCCTGTTGAAACAAACAAAAAATAGATAACTTGTTGAAATATCTAGATGGCAAGATCTGGTAGCCCAGATATTCAAGCAGGCCTTCCATACGTTCAGACCTTCCAACTTCCGTGGCCTTTTCTTACCTTGGTGCGAAACAATCTGTTATCTATGTAGCTTTGGGGCTAGGATGAGTGTGTCATTGAAACATATCGTTACAACCTTCTCTATGAAAAGTATATTGTACTGTGGCAAAGGCTTTTTAATATCGTGGAATATTGAATTGACCGGAATCTTATGTTCACAGGAAGTTGTCGAACTTTCCCATGCTATAAGGAAATTGGATACACAGAGCCTGTTTTTCCTGATCCCGTTCTGGGCTTCATAGAGCATGTTGTTTTGATCCATGTATCCTCTCGTTTGTTCATTGACCAGTCCTTTCATTACCTGCGACAGTGTTGGCAGTAATGCGGTTGATCGGTAACAGGCTGGGTCTTTACTATCTCCTTTGACTCTTGAAGTGACCTGCTCCCACCCTCTTGGTACTTAGTGTGGATCTAGTGAGTGCCTGAATAGGTCACGCCGGTATGCTAATGGCTTCTGCGCACTGTTTCAGGATAACATGCCGGATGTTATTACTTCCTAGTGACTGTCCTTGGCGCAGGGGTTTCTGTTTATTTGATACTAACCCATAAGTTGTTGGTTGTCTTCGGCAACCTAGATTTTAAAAGTGCTATCTTCTGGCAGTGTTTTAAAAGCACTTTTCGCTTAGAAGGTGCAAAGCACATACCATACTTACGGGCATTAATTGCTAACTGTTTAAGTGCGAATTGGATGGCCTGGGTATTATCGCGCGGTAAGACAATATCATCCGCATACTCAAGGTCGAGAATTCTTTCTTCAGGGAACAGATCCACATCGCCATTACTTACATCCATCAGAGCTGTTTTTAGAATGTCATCGATGGCAAAGTTGAAGAAGAATGGTGAAATTGGGCAACCCTGTCTAACCCCACTGCTTGGATGGAACAATGGAGAAAGGTTGTTGTATCTCCTTATTCTGCTTTAGGTATTTGTATATAGAGCCTTCCAGATGTTAATAAGCTTCTCAGGCACACGCCTCTTCAACAGACAGTCCCAGAGAACAGTCTTGTTCAACGAATCGAAGGCGGCCCTGATGTCAAGAAACACTACAATTGTTGGCCTGTATGACAGTGTTCTAACATTTGGCAGAGGGTGAATATATGATCAATACATCCTCGACCAGAACGAAAACCAGCCTGCTTCCCGCAACCAATTTCCCACGGGTTCTGAACAATCTACGAAGTATGACGGAAGCCAATAGTTTGGACGCAGTCGGAAGTAGACTTATCTCCCGATAGTTTCTGCATAGGTGACGTGAATCCTTTTGAAAGATAGAGACAACTATCGACCAGGCCGATTGAACTGCTCCTCGAAGAATTCTGCCCATCGTCCTAGACGTCGATGGATGTTAGTGATTGGCATCCCGTCATTCTCACAGGTTGTTTCACTCACACCAGACTTCTTGCTACCAGTGGCTCGGGTGAGTTGGAAGATCCACCTAAACGATTCTCCTCTGTGCCTAGACGCCCTACCTGAGCATTCAAGTCTCCGGCTAGTACTACAATATCTGTCGAACGTACTTTCTGTAGAAGAACAGTTAACTTGTAGTAAAATTCATCCTTGATTGCATCCGGGCTGCAATCTGTCGGGGCATAGGCGGAGATGACGAAAAGACATTGTTTCTCACGCCGATTTCTTCTCACTTTAATGGAACTTTCTAACCAAACAGCACATAACCAACTGTTAATAGAATCCAATCGATTAGTGCTGCCTCAGCTCTAGCGCTCAGTGCGACATCTACGCCAGCAAGACCAGACGAAGATGCCACAGGGTCCCCGGATAAACGCACGTAAAAAAAGCCTTTTGAAGCGACAGATAGAGAGTGAATTTGTAGTACTTCACCAGAGTCTTGAATACGGG